TTTCCATCTGTCTGTGCAGGGCAGAGGATGCTCCTGGCTGCCACTTCCATCGTGCCAGACAGAGGTGCTTTGCCACAGCCATCCCCACTCTGCTTTGCATTGCAGTGATCCCTTCTACCTGATTTTGTCCCCCTGCGTGCTGAGGAAGATGAATGTTTTCTCAGAGGCCAGGGGTCTGATAGCCCTGCTCCAGCCAGTGGGGCTGCCTCAGATTTGATGGTTGCTGGACACCACTTCTTACTTTAAGCTGAAGAATTAGATACTCTGAATCTTCTTGCCAATCATTAATCTGCTCTCTCAGGGCAAATGCACCACCGTGAAAAGTGCCAGGACAGCACGTAGGCTCCAATTAAATCTTTGGCAGGAGTGTGAGCAGTAGACATTACAGCAATTACTGGCCTTTCTGTTCTCTGCAACATTGGTGTGCTTCCTGCTATCGGCTCTGTGCAAACAGAGAGGAATGGAGTTAATAGATAACCACAGCAGTGTATTCAGTGTGTCCTTTGCAAGGGTCATGTTTGGGAATTTCCTTTTCCTAGGATCTTGGGTGTGTTTACTATGTGCAGTGTTCTTCATTCACAATTTAGGGGCTACATACAGTGTAGTCTTCAAATTCTCTTCATCAGCCAGTTCCTCGACTTTACTACTTACATGTTAGCTACCCTATTTTTAGAAGACTAATAAAATACTATAACAGTAGTAATCCTAGAGCTATTTGTGTCCTGAATGATGCAGAAGAGGCTGAACTCACGCAGGGAGTGCCGAGTTCACAGTGAAATGTAGGTGTCTCGGTAGCAGCTTTTGGCAGCTGCATTCTTGCTCAGAGATGAATGGCTTAGCAAGGAGATGACCTGGGAAGACAGTCGCATTTTCAGTTGGCAGTAGGTAAGGGGACAAAAATGATTCAAGCTTGACCAAAGTGGAGGTGAGAACATGACTTCTGTCATGAACAGTTTCTCCTTGGCTGAGATGAAGTGCCTATTTTCTTTTCCTCTGACTATACCGAAGGCCCAGCCTCACATTTAGATGTCTGACTCTGAGATGTCTAAATTACACCAGATGAGGCCATCCTTCCTAGCCGGAATTTACCAGGGTCTCTCTGTAGGTCCCAGCCAAGGGCTAATCTCCCTGCTTCCCATTGTGATCTGGTATTGACACTGCAGAGGGTGATTCACTCATCCCTCCAAACTGTCCTCTGGGGGACTCTTTTCTCATGGTCAGAAAGGTGTTTGGGGGGGATCTTCTTCTGGCCAGGCTGAAGGTCTCCTCATGAATCCTATCCCCCAGAGCTTGCAGACAACATATTCCCTATGGCTTATTCCTCCACTGGCACTACAGGAGATAATTAGTGCGTGGCTAAGTCATATGTGCTGAGGGTCAGAAAAGACAATGAGGCAGATTTTCCCCTGGAGTAAAGAAATGTCAACAGAGTTGCACTGCAGTGAAATGATGGGATCTGTCAGTGACCCTGGCCCTTTCACTGAACAAACAGCCTGGGGTAGAGCCTTCCTCCAGAAGAATGGCATCCTTTAGCAGCAAGGCACTCTTGTGAACCAACAGTTTAGGGCTTTCCCAGGGGCTGGTGTCCCCAAGAGACATGCTGCCCACAAGGGCAGCAGGAGACTTGATGCAAAACTCCTGTGCACAGCTTAATTCCTTGTATGCTGCTACTTGGTATTGCTGTAAAACCACTCCTCAGCCTCCAAGTGAACAAAGTACCTGCCTGGGGGCAGCAGGAGGAAGGATGCAGACTTGACAAATGAGCATTTCCTAGCCAGTTTTGAGGTATTTCAGTAGCCCTTGGAGATAGTAGAATATAATGGAAACAAAGTGGTCATCTGTGCCACACACAGACCAAGGTCTAGTCTCTTTTACATCCTTCGGTTCAGTTCGTCAGTGCACAGGCATTATCCATGTGAATTAAAAGGCACATGACTAATGCTGTGAAACAAGTTATCTCTGGCTATTTCAGTGCTGCCTGGATAGGGAAATTCTCTTTATTGTGGCCATGCTCAATATTAAAACTACTCTTCATCTGCACCCTCCATCTCTCTCCTCCAAGTCTGTTACTTTCCATTATATAGCATTATAGTATATAGTGAAGGCCAAGAGCAGCTACGCCATTGGTCTGGAGTATGAAAAGCAAGAAAAAGATCTTGAATTTTTCAAGGGGATCTTGCAATCCAGGAGAACTTCAAACTGTGCTGAAAAATAAAAGTAAGCACTTTTGATAGTACAGCAGTCTTGTGCATTAAACCAAATTAATCTTCTTTGGTTTCACCTTGAATTGGATATGCTATAAATGCCAACGTTGCTTTTTATTCTGCTCACATTCCTCTCTGGTTCCAGGTAAAAGACCAAATGCCTCCCATCCTGTTCTTGGAGAGAAATCTGCCAAGTGTGCTCCCTTTCATTACCCTTTTGTGTTACTAATAACTTCCTGATTTCTATCTTTGGGGCTTAAACCCCTTTATCTGTAAAAGATCATGTACGCAGGTGATATTCTAATGCTGTAGTGGATTTTTCCAGTTCCCACACCTGGTGAAACATGCTGTGCAACTTCTATTGCAACACAGCCAGTTATCATTAGGGTATGTGTCCTCCGGCAGCTGAAGGCAGCGTGTTGGTTAATGCTTTCAGCTCTGCTCCGGCAGATAGCCTCAGCATGGTGTGCGAGGGTGGTGTGTTCTACAGGACTTGGAGTTAGAGCTCTTCCAAGCTGCTTTCAACACGTGCTGCCTGCTTTTCTGCTCTGCATTGCAGCAATAGCTACCAGCCTGTCATAGGGGTAGTTTATGAAACAGATGGTGTAGTCTGTCAGGGAGGGTTGAGACAGCTAATGGCTGGGTGTGCTGGGGACAGTGTTGTCAGAGTTGCGCTACAGCCCAACAGAGCCAACCCCTTCATCCGGCACCCATTGTATCTTCCCAGCAAGATGCATGGGAAAGCTTTAGCTCAGAGGCAGATGAATTTGAGCTACTTTACCTGGGAAGTTTACGTGAGGGCCTTAAATACTGTTGAGTTTTTCTGTTGTGGTTTGTTTTTAAGGGGGCACAGGTTGCCCAGTAATTGATAAATGCTCCATCCCTGGCACTGTTCAAGGTCAGGCTGGACAAAGCCTTGGGCAACATGGTCTAGTGTGAGGTATTCCTGCCCACGGCAGGGGGCTGGAACTACATGATCGTAAGGTCCTTTCTAACCCAAACCATTCTATGATTCTATGCACAACCCAACTGCCACCAGGCAGCAACAGGCCCTGGAGGCCTATAAATGCTTCACTGTCTCTTATTGCTAGACTCCTAAGGCACCACAACAGTGAGGACCACAGTGCCCAGGACTGTCACATGTTGCTCTAAGAGACTTGAGAAAATACAGAGGAGCGCACAACACAGAGTCAAGGTGGCTTTGCACCACTCTGCTTCTTCAGGCTGCTATGTTGGAACATGTTGGTCCACATAACTGGCTTGGCACAGTGGCTTAGGGGAGACCTAGGGATTTAGAGATCTTTGCATACTGTCAACATTCATTTAAAAATTGCACCACATGGGTCCTAAACTTGTGCAACTGAGCACTTGACCGCATCCTGTAAAACAGGGCAGAGCCCATATCCTGGGAGCTCTACCAAGCTGTCTCCAAGTGCATTTAATTTATTAATATAACTAGTGAGATGTTCATGCCGAGTCCTTGCACTGTGCCTCCCATGAGAACAGAATGTCAGGGTGTTAAAAAGATGACCATGTTTCTGTGAAGGACTTCCTATGGACGATGATTTGCACAGCCCAAAGAAAAGTCCTTCTCAGATGACACATTAACATTGTAAATATGTCCAAAGCTAATGGGTATTTTCCACATGTCAGAGCCATAGGCCACTGGGACCTCTTTCTACACCTGGCAGTGTTTCCAAGTCCCTAAATAAAGTGACTATATGACAGACCTGAGATAAAAGTTTGGGGTAGAAAGCAGAGAGATGTTCTCATGAGAAGAGACCACAGGGTGTTTTTTGATAAGCTGGCTAACATGACAGGAGATGTAATAAAACAGAGGGCCTAATGCGGGAGTCCCACTGTTGGCTCATGAGTGTTACTCAGTGTGTGTTGAAGACTCCTGTAGATCTTTATTAAAGTAGGCAACAAAAGGTTTTGGCTATTAGTCAGAGAGGCATCAGAGAGAATGAGACATCTGCCATAGGTGGGTGATGCTCGTCTTCTCCGTAGCACCTAAGAGTTCTGTTGCTGAGCTGCTCCCTGTCCTATGTAGCACACAGCACAGGTTGTTAGATGACACAGGTAATCATTCCATACATCATCTTCTGCTCTTTCTAGGTGCTTCTGACTGGTTTAATGGTTGTGTGCAGTTCAGCCCCCCCGTCTGTAGTACATTGGAGTGTGTGTAATTGGGGGATACAAAGTACTTCCCCTATTAGTAGGCCTGGATGAAGCTAGGTGCTAGCTGTCTGGGTCAAACCACAGGGTTTGATTTGCAGGCTGGAACGGATGAAACCCCACACACACTGCAGGTGTTTGTGTTTGAGTGTGTGGCACTCAATGCAGTCACTGAAGCACTGGATTGCTCAGCCTCCTGGCTGAGGAAGGTGCAGAACTCATCTCCACATCTCCATCTCAGAGGCAGATCCTGCTGTCCATCAATAAAATGGCTTTTCTCCAGCATAAGAAAGTCTGTGTGCTGGGATGCTGGGGCTGCTGGGCTCAACCCCCAGCAAGAGGGGGGAGCTGGTCTCAGACCAAACCATGGCAACATGCTAAGAGCAGCGGGTTCAAAGAGAGATGTTCATTTAGGAAATAAGGGTGGTTGTGATTCCTGGGAAGGGTCTCATCTGAATTCTGACCATGCTTGGCTGCCTATTCAGCTCGTGAGGTCAGGCAAGCCATCATCCCAAGAAGGGGTGATGTCCCAGGCAGAGTACCAGGGCCAGGAATGGTTATCAGTTCATGAGGGTGGTTAGCAATCTAGTAAGTACTATCTGCTGTACTTTTCAACAGAAAGATTTCCAGACTGCAGTTCAACAAGGTGAAGCTGGAAGATGCTGGGGAGTACAGCTGCGAAGCGGAGAACGTTTTAGGGAAAGACACCGCAAAAGGCAGCCTGAATGTGAAAAGTGGTAAGTGAAGAAGCCAGCAAACGTCTTGTCTGCCATTCATGCAGAAAGCGGGAGGTTCTGCACATGATCTGTCTTTTATTGTGTTTCATGCTTTTAGGATATTGAGTAAAATAGTCTTGGGAGATAAGAAAAATGCAGCTTAGCATAAATGTTTATCTTTGTTATCTGTCAGTGGCAATGTGGTTAATTTACATTTTAAATAAACTTACAGTCTATGTATTTTTTTAAAGGGGGTACAGAGGAAAGAAAGCTGATGGGCTCGATGTTTTCTTTTTCTAAAAGAATTTCTGAGCAGCAAAACTCACCAGAAGACAAGTAATTAAACCATAGCTTTGTGATGAGTGAAGTTGCTTCTGGTTTTCATCCTAGAATGTGTGCTCCATCTCTTAGAGCTCAGCGGATGGAGTCTGAGGTTAGGTGGTTTTATTATTATCTTGGTTATAATAATTATATTGCTTAACATGATGGTTTGGTTGCACCCTCCAGCTCAGAAAGTCTCTACAGTGGTTGCCAGAACCCAGGAGGGTGCAACTAGGGAAGGGATGACTGTGTTCCTAAGCTCTTCCTTCTGCCATTCACAATGGGCCACTGCGGGAGCCTGGGCTCTGTGTTCTGCAGCCCTTCTCGGTGTGATCCAGTTTCTCTGTTGTGGTCTTATTAGCATCAGTCAAATGTGAAGGAAGGTAGCTTTTTCCTGCTGCTTTCTGGCATTATTTTCTCTATTAACCTCTGTCTCAGCAGTGTTTGAAGTCCTGAATCTTCCATTCTGTGAAGCTGCAGTATCATATAGCCTCCCCCTCGGTTACTGTGCCTGTAAAAACCCAGTGCTTGCAAAGCCTGCAGAAAGGCCATCCGTGCTTAGACCTCCATACCTTCATGCTTCACGTCTATGAAGTTAGCACAGCTGCTCTGCTGTGTTTCTATCATGGTAGGAAAGGTGTCCAGAGTAAACTAGCTGAGGCAGTGGAACTTCCTTTGTTTCTGACTTGCACTCTGACTGTTCCACCACCATGTAAACTGCTCCTGTTTCGACTGGGGGCTACATGTGCAAATCTAATTTCCATGTGCAACATGCTCAGGCAGCATGTGCCAGCCATTAGACCCACATCTGCCTCCTCCACACCTCCTCTTCCCAGGCACTAGCAATCCCCTTTCACGAGAGGAGGAGTGTGACTGAGCAGTGTCTGCTGCAAGACTCCCATCCTGCAAGCTATTTATGGCACCAGGGATTGCACCTCAGGCCACTACAGCTTCAAACAGCCCCTTCCCACATAGAATCATAGACTGTTTGGGTTGGAAAGGACCTTAAGATCGTCTTTTTCCAACACCCTGCTATGGGCAGGAGGACCTTCCACTAGAGCAGGTTGCTCCAAGCCCTGTGCAGCCTGGCCTTGAACACTGCCAGGGATGGTAATGGCAGTATTTGAAAGGATTGAACTCATCCTCTGCAGGAAGGCATGCTATCTGACAAGGTCAAATTCTCTTTGAGGTCCCTTCCAGCCCGGTATTATATGATTCTATGATAGGCAGCTGCTTTCACTCAGGTCACAGGGAGTATGAGGACATGCCTGAGTTGCCCAGAAATGTGTTGACCTGCAAAGTCACCAAAGACACACAGAGATCTGTCCTGTACCTTTTCCTGCTGGGAGCTGCAGGCTGCAAGGTGCTGCAGATCCAGTCAATTGCCTGCTGTGCCCTGCTGGGACAGTGCCTTGATTAATCCATTTTCTAAGCTCCTTACAAATCTGCCTTTGGCTTGCCACTCTCAACTGCATGCACCCCTTGCTGCTGCTGCTTGCAGGTCACCTGGCAGGACAGCAGCTAACTGCTAGTTATAGTCCCCTGTAAACAAGGTGATGCTGTTCACTGTGGGCTTTTGCAGCTCTGTCACCCCCTTTGCACTCTCTTTTCTCTTCCCCCTTGAGCTACCCAGAGCCCAGCAGCCTTCACCTGTGCCCAGCACTTGCTGTTCTGGAGTCTCCCTCTTTCCTTTCTGCTGGCCTTTCTTGCGACTTTGATAGCATCCCTCACTTCTGCAAGCTCCCTTCTTCTGTGATATCTTTCAGTAGAAAACTCCTCAGAGCATCTGCTTGTCCCTGAACCCACATGTGTCCTGTCTTCTGTTCCTGCCTGCATTCTTCTCCAGGCCCCTTAGCACTGATCCTGTTGTGGCTAATTCTCAACACAGCACTCTGTGAAGTTCCAGCAGTTTATAACAATTGATCAGAACAGATGTGTGAGCTGGCCTGCCCTTGGAGCCCTTCCCAGAAGCAAACTCCAGCTATTGCTGGTTTTTGTGTTCTGCTGCTTAATATTCTGCTTCTTAAGTGCTGGCCTTTCCTTTGGAACTTGGTGCATTCGCCTGTCCCGGGCAGGCTGCCTGGTACAGATGCTTTGGGACCATGTGCGGGAAGCACGCCTTCTGATCTGACATTTAGCAGTACTGTTGGAGGACCTGTAATGTTACTGTGATACAGGCATGTGAATCTAGGACTGGGAAGAGGTCCTGAGCTAATACTGCATCTTGTGATATAGAGAAATGAGGTCTGTGGACATCTCTGGGTGCCCCTGTAGAGAGGTGCCATTGCAAGAGGTGGTCTGCAGCTTGAAATGAGCATCATGGAGGAGGGAGGAGTCCTCAAACCAACATGCCATTGCCCTCCAGGGGTGCAGAAGCCAGAGACAGAGGCTCCTGAGCCCACTTGAGTCCTGGCTGGCAGAGAGGGGGCTCACACATGCTACCTTCAGGCGCATGGGTACAAAGATCTGAGATGCAGTCTCTGCTGGCAAAAGTTTCTCAGCCCGATGAGGCAACGTTGCTGTTGCAAAGTACCCTTCACTCTATTCCACTGCCGCTTTCCAGTTTACACCAGTTTCTAAAGAGCACTGATTCAGCCATGCAGATCTGTTGGGAATCACCAAAACCCCCACACTGAAGAGAGATTTTCTGTAGAAAGAGAGTGGCTGCAGTGCAATGACCCCTTGTCACTTAGAAAATGTCCATCAGCCAGACCCATCACCTCATGTCTGCTCTGCAATTTTGGTATTTCCACAGAATGCCTTGCTCAGAGATAAATGCTTTTGCCTTGAAAAGCTTTGGGAGGGTGTCAATCTCTGAGGAAATGCTTCTGGGCTTAGCCAAAACATATTGTGCTTTGGTGCTATTTTCAAATTATTACTTTGAGGTAAATTAGATGCTTTCTTAGAAAAATGTCTGATTTCACAGCTCTCTTCATTGAGTATTCGAACATTAGTATCACGTGGGCATGAGGACACAGCTGAAATGTGCCTGTTTCAGGTTCTTTTCCTCAGAAAACTTCAAGACTCCTCCTGAGCTGACATCTCCCCCTCCACTTCTTGTTTAACACTGCAGGAAAAATCAAACTTGTCTAAAAAGTTCTTTCTGCTTTTACCTTTCTATGGTGGTCTCAGCGCCTATCTCTGACAGGGAGCTGCCCACACAGCGTAGGCTGCTGGTGCTTTCTCCTTTGTGAATCTAGAGGTGGTGAGGGACTTTGATCCAGAAGGAGCTGTTGCTGCCAGCAGGCTTGAGTAGAGCTTGTGACTGTGGACACTGGACTTCCCCAGTATCCTGGTTTATAAAGAGGAAATTGCTGGATGTGCTTGGCTCCCATATTGCCTCAGGCCATGGCCTTCATCTGTTTCATGTACCTCCATCTCTTATATAAGCATTACTTTGCGCTGTAAAACTTCGCTTATATATGGGATGGAGGCTCTTCAGAGGGTCTCACCTTTTCTTTAACTCCACATTTTTCTCACTGACATGTTCTGTGATCCCATCTTTACACTCTCACAGCCACCAGGGCTAAGAAACCCTCCCACAGTATTGCTCATCACCTGCCAGGTGAATCCTGAGCCCTTTTATCATGACAGAGATCCTAATGGCATGAAGCCCTCTACAGCAAGGGGACCGATGTGCCCTGTGCCCCCCTGCAGGGGCACTCCATTACCTGCCTCTGATACCGAGTCACCCACCTGAGCATCCCCTAACCAGTACTAACACATTGACAGCCATGCCAGCCTGTGCCACCCAGCAGCACCTCCTCTTGTCCTTCCCCCCTGCAGTAGCTAAGCCCACCCTTCTCTGCTCAAAATAGATATTTTGTTCACTACTTTCTTACCTTAATTTCCCCAGGAACAACGAAAGCACCACAAGTCTTACCAGCCTCAGAAACTAAAATAGTTGTTATGGAAGAAGAGTGTAAGTACCTCTCCCCCCGCTCCCCCAATATAGCTCCTTTCCCCTTCCTTGTTTTGGTTTTATGACACCTTTTGCATAAATGCTTTATTGCCTCCTGGAATCTTCTTTAATCACCACTTCCCTTTGATTTCTGCCAAAGCCACTGATCTTTCCCTGGATCTTTCAAAGAATATGATTTATATTGCTGGTGTCTATACTAGAGAGGGAGAGGCTGATAGCTATTGCAATGGGAACTTGAAGAACAAGTTACTTAAAATTACAGCGGGTTTTTAAGTGTTCACAGCTCTTGCAATATAGTCCCTGCGCATGGCAGAGGGTTGGAACTAGGTTATCTTAAGGTCCTTTCCAACCCTAACTATTCTATGATCTATTGATACTTGTAAGGTGTGCTTTGATTTAACAGGAATTTTTGTTGGTTTGTTTTTAGGGTTGGGTTTGTTGTTTGTTTGGTTTTTTTTTTTTTTTTTTGAGGATAGGTGAGAAAACCAAAGAAAGCTATAAGAAATACAAGAAAAAGTACATGAGAGTTCTAAGCATAAGTCAGAAGAAAATTGCAGAAATACATCTGTGTTCTGCCATCACATTTTTCCTAGAGTGTCCAGAAAGTAAGAGCAGATTACCCCAAACGTTTAATTGATTTAATGTAGTGGAAGTGCTTTTTAGCATTCCCTCCTATTCAGTTGTCATGAATGCAGGAGAAAATGGGCACGCAGAAGTACAAATCAAAGCATATCTACAAGGGCAGGTCTAGAAGGCAGGAGCCTGGCCGCTGGTTTGGCTCTTCCCAGTGGAGGCACTATTCCTGTGTGTGCCAGTGTCTCTGTGCTGGGGAATACTGAAGGGCCCAGCAGGGTTCCCTCTAAACGAGCAGGCACCCAGAGGGCTGAGGACTAGGCAGCTATTTGTGGTCTGCGCTGTGTTAACATTCCAGCTGCTCACAACCTGACCTGGCAGCACAGCTGGCTCTGCCTCTCTGTTGATTCCGCTTTGCAGAGTGCATGGGGATGTTTCCTCCTTGGAAAGCTCGATCGTTGATGATTTTAAAGGGAATGTGATTGCAGCCACAGCAGGGACTGGCCAAGTATCCTTTAAAAGGTTCTGATTAGAAAACTGTACTTGTGTTGTGCTCTTGTGTTCTGTTTAGCCTTCCACTGCACTGGGGACATCAAGCTGAGACACAACACCATTAATACAATGACCATACCGTCCTTCCCCAGGATTTTTCCATTGTGTTCACCAGCATAGATCCATGCTGCTGACTTGCATCACATTAGATATATGCTATTTTTTAATAGAAGCCAAATTTCAACAATAGAAAGGAAACTGGCAAAATACCGTGTGGCTTGCACAGAAGTTTCTCCTTTTGAAACACTTCTTTCCTCTGGAGGAACATCATCCTTGACTGTGGGGTTTTTTTCCTTAATGATGTGAAGAGATGGTAAAGTCTCCAGAGTTAAAGCTGTAATTGACTTTTTCCCTCACATTCCTTTTTCATGATCTCTTTCAATTGTTACCTAAATAACACATAGTCCTTCTGATTTTTATGGTTACTGATGATCTATCATAGAATTGCACATCTGTATAACATATGGGAAGGTAACAAAGATATTGTGAGGTGTGATGCATTGGAAAGCTGACAAATACCTCATTCTTGTCAAATTGTTGCATATCTTTTAAATATCTGTATCCAAAAGCTTGTCTGGCACCTGTACGTTGTCCAACCCCTCATTGTTTCACTGACAGCCTGTAAATGATCCCCTGGATTATAAACACCATGTTGAGAAAGCACCATGCAAACTTGGTGATAGCTGCAGTTCCCTGGTAAAGGAGAGACTGCCTTACACAGACAGCTTGGTCATGGCACTGGTCACTTCTGTCTGGCCTGTGGTGTGAGGCAGGCATCTTAGCAGCTAGGCTTGGCAAGGGTGTTAGACTCTACACCCCAACAAGCTCACTGTGTTCTTGCCATGGCCCAGACAGCTCCTATGGGCAAGGAGATAGAAGCCCATCACTCCATGCAGCCCCACGTGCCTTGCCCCCTGTAGCTGTGTTGCTCCTGGAGTATATGCTTTTAACTAGTCTTCTTCCCAAATGTCCCAGTTCCTTCCTCAGTGGTTTGAGCTCCCTTGCTACCCTTGCCTTGGGAGAAAGAGTGTGATACCAAATATTTCACCTTTGGAGCATTGTTAAAGCCTTTCTTACCACCCCTGAGTGCAGCTACTAGCAAATCCTGCTATGTTCTGAGTCACCCCTGCCTTCCTCAATCCGAGGGCCAGATTCAGAAAGGAACTCTGGTGTCTGGGAAAGTCTTTCCATGATGCTGTGTACCACAGTCTTACTCCTTCCTCTGAGTATATATTGGTTTGAGCATTGTCAGACCAGAGCAGCCCTAGAAATGCTTTCTTCAGAAAGCACTGGGGCCCAAAAGAGAAGAAATGCCTACTATTCTTATCAAGTCTTCCTGTTGAGCCTAGTAAGTATGACATAGTTGCAGTAGCTCCATCCATAGTGAAAAACTGTTAAATAAGACATGCTGTTTTGTTTTGTCACAGGCTAAGATTGCGCAGTTGGGTGGTCACAGTGGCTCAGCTCACAGGCAGGGACTTGCAGGAATGGGGTAACTTGATCATGTGTCCTAATGCAGAAAGAAACATCCTCTATACTCATTTCAACATACAGAGAGCTCAAAATGGTAAAGTGATCCTGTCAGTGTGCAGCTTGGAGCAGCTAAACAAGGTTTGGGGGTCTGTGGCTACAGACCTGCTTGGTAAAAGGAATAGGAATTAGTGTCAAAGTTTAGAAACATTTTGATGGAGGAGAAAATGGAAGAAATTTGAGAGCAATCTGAGATAGCAGGTATATGCAGGACAAAGATACTAAAATCTTATAAAAGTTTCCTTTTTAAATGGTATTTAAAGATAATGTTTGTAATCTTTTAAAAGGTCAGGTAATTTCTTTTGCTTGTTTTCTGCTGTTGAGTTCCCCTCTAGTTTATTTTCTTGATTTTAATAAACAGCTGAAGTCGTGAGGGTAAAAAGTTATTACTGGCTGGGTAGAGAAAGCATGGTTTGGATACTGTCAGGATAAAAGAGAATCCACCAGTGATGAGCAGATGCTCTAAACCAACATGTGGATCATTGCAGCTGCTTACCCTGCTCATGCCCTTTGGCTGGGTAACTAGCTAATCTGATTGAGTGCCTTTACCAATGTCACGTAAGGTGACATTTCTGGCCAGGCTACAGATACTCTGCAGTAGAGAGAGGTTTTGGAGACATGAAAAAAGGAGAAAGAGGAGAAGAGGCAGTGCTGAGCTTTGCTGGGAACATGAGGATTGGGGGATAATGTGAGGATGAATGAAAGCTGGTCTCTTCAGATTGATTTTTGGGGAGCTTTATTTCAACTGCTGGGGATCACAAGCCCTCCCTGAAGTCCCCTTATAGGTCCTAATGGGAAAGTAGGTGAAACAGCACTTCTTTCTCCAGTTATGTCTAACTCTCCACACACCAATTTGGGTCCACAGGTTTCATAGCTGTCATCTTGGTGATAAAATTGGTGGACTAAATCTGTAGACTTATCGGTTTAGGCTTATTCAGGTCTCTCCCATTTAATACCTTCCCCAATTCTTAACATGTCTGGGTTGGAAATGTTTTTCCTTACTGTCTTTCTTCCAGGTGAGATAGGCTTGGTGGACTCACATGAATGCAATGGCTCAATGATGTCTTTACTGTGATGTGGTTTGTAAGTCACATCTAGTTGAAGCTTCAGCATATAGCACAGTAAGATGTGACATGTACCTCAGGTTCAGTCAGTTCCTCCAAACCGTGTCTCAAGTGCAGTCTGTTATGACCTTTACTGAGTAACCATGGCAGACCTGAATGTCATTCTCTGATCTCTCTTAGTCAGAAGCCACTGTGCTGGAGCCAACAATGCTACAAACATGAGCATGGTGCTGTTTTGGAGTTGAAGGGTGTCCAGCTACCTCCAAGCACAGGTAGAACAGACGGAAGTCAGTCCACCAGGGGCCATGTGGACAAACCAGTTTTCAATATTAGGCTAAAAATAAGTCCTGATGTGTGCTCAGATGATTCAAACCCCATGGCTGGAGGTGTGGTTGATAATGGAACGGTGCCTGCATGCAGGCAGGCATGGGACCCTGAGGTGTACGTGCTGGACATCTTGCTGTCAGGCTGCAGGGAGAGCTGTGTTTTGCCTGTCCGCTGTCAGGTCCCACACTGTGTATTTTTTAAGTAACCATCAGATCCACTACTCTAAAGACAGGGCATTGCGACTCTAAGGCAAAGATGGGCAGTATAGAATGAAGTGTAGGATGGAAGCTGATGTCCCTTGGAAGAACTGAGGCTGTAAACCCAGCATTCAGAGTAGGAGGCTGTGTATCAGATCTGGTCTGTATGAATCCATCTTGTGATCCTGGCATGTTGCTTCACTTCCTTGGCTTCAACTGTCCCACCTGCAAAAGAATTTGTAGTTCAGCTGACATTGACTGTGGCTGTTCAGGTTGTTGAACAAAATCCGTCATTGAAGTATCATGTTGCTGCTATTACATTTGGTGATGGGGATTTGGGAAAATAAGATGCTGCAGCACTAATGCATGCATTCTGGGACCCTCGTGGTAGAGAAAAGCATAGGAATTGCTGGAGAGATCAGCCTGGAAGAGCAACTAGAAGCTTTACAATAACACAGGACTTTGTCCCTGCAGTAACTTCCTGTCCTATGGAAGCAAGCAGTCCCTTGGCACTTGGAAACCTTTAAACTCCCTTCTCAGTGGAACACCTGAACATTGCAGATGGGAGATGTGGGGAGTGCTGCCTGTGTTATTTTGATCAGCACTATCTGATGCTCTTGAAAAGAGTGTCCTGCAGTCTGGCATTTGCATTTTGGGATGAACTTCAAATCTGCAGCTATTGATCCTCATGGTCCCCACGGGAACTGGGAACATAATTCCTGCAGGATCTATTTTGGTAAAATGCAGGGGTAAATATTGGGTTATTTCCAAATGAATAAACACACAGGAGCAGAATTTTTACGAGCTCCAAGGTCCCCAGACTGTTGCCAGGTGAGCCCCAATCTGCACAGACCCATCTGATTCTGTGTGCAGAGAGCAGTGAGCACTTAGCCTCTCTGTTCAGGTTTATTAAGAGAAGAGGGTGTCATGCCAGACGTACAGAAACCTGCCATAGGGAGAATGGTTAGAATCAACAGCTCCTCCATGCATTAATCAGTGTAAATCATGGATTTAGTGTGGCTCACGCCAAGATTACAGTGCTACAGCTAAGGAATAGCTTGGCCAGACACCTTCTCATCCATGTTCTTCTGACAAGCTGTTGGATGAACTCGGTGGAGAGGAACCTCAGCAATTCTGTGTTTTATCAGTAAGTACATGAGGCATATACAGAGCAGGCAATCTGTATACACTCTCCAACCAGCTGAGTTCATCTGTCTAACTGAATGTCTAAATATTGAGAGAATGAAGTGTCTGTACTCTATGAACCCCCCAGTCAAAATTAGTTATAACACAAAGGAGCAGCGAACCTGTCGCAGTCTCCCTGCTCTCCTCGACAGTAGCTGGAGTTTGTGAAAGCCCAACTGTAATTTATAGTCCAAGCTGCATTAAGTAACTCTTTGCAGGGTGAGTATTCCACCAGATCTCTGACGGCGGGCTGGTGAGCTGCCTGTAAAAGTTAAATGACGTGCATGGTAGGAATTGTGTAAGGATCCGTGCACAACCATTAATGGCCTTTCTGTGCAGATGGATTGTATGAAGGGAAGTCCACATGGCAATGTCAGTGTCTGTGGCTCTCCTCTCTTGCCCTGTCATTGATGTTAATCCCAAATAACCTTGGTGTGGGATAGAAAATAGATGCTCTGAATGACTACATTGCTTTAAATCTCTCTTGTGTTTATGCTGCGCTATGCTCACTGTCTGGAACAGCAGCAACAAAACGTGTCTTCAGGTTGTTCTCAATCACATCCATCAAGACACAGCCCTCTTTTCCCCATCCTCACCTCCTTACTCCCTTCTGCTTTGTTCTCAGCCCTGGGACTTTCCAGATAGGGAAGGAGGTGCTGGCTGTGCCTGTAAAGCCACTGACAGCTCAGGGGACATGACAGGGGATAATGACTATTTTTTCTAATATAAGGTCCAGGAAAAGGCAGGTTTAAAATCAATAGCTGGAGATGTGTCTTTGCACACTGTGTGCGTAACGTGGAGCTCTTGTCACAAATAGTGTGGATATTACAAGATTTGTTCAAACAGCAACTACACATGTTCACGGAAGAGAAACCCATCAAAGGCTATTAAATGTCAAGACACTGTGGCTAACTTAGGTTGTCTCTGAGCAGCTCATCCTAGATGTCCAGAAGAAAATTATCATTGCAAGATTGTGCTTATCTTCTTCCTTAAGCATTGCCTATCGACCACTGTCAGAGTCAAGACAGGGCTTTGGTTTGACCAGTACTGCACAGCTTATAGTCTTATGAAGGCCTGTATTTCATGGCACTCTCTTCTCAGGAGGGAGCTGGGCTGACTGCCTCTTTTTGTAGCCTTTGCTACATCTCTGCTGCTAACAAATGGACCATGGTAATACGAATCTGTGACTCAGTTTTAAAACACTTTGTGCTTCTTTGGGAGAAAAGGCACAGTACTTGAAGAAAACAGGATTTAAAAGATGACAATAAGATGCTGCTAGGAGAACTGATGAACCATGTATTTTTACGACAGGCGTAGCTCTGTTGACAGCTCTCTTTCTAGCAGTACACAACATGCATGTTCCAAGCCTCAGTCATGTTAGATTCTTTTGTTTTTGTTTAAAAGGAACATTATTGTTCATATGAGATGAAAATCCCATACAATCTCTAGCTAGTCAGCACTGTAATCCACTCTGGTATCACAACATCACACAGCACTGCATCTCACTGTCTACCTTTTCTGGTGGAAGTGGTACCTTTTTATCTGAGGTGCTTTTTATGGGCAGGTTTCTGGCCTGTTTTTATTTCTCCTTCTCTGCTTCCCCCTTACTGTGGGAAGGCTTGCTCCAGAATCCTTTCCTGTAGGATTTATGACGTGAGACTTTGCCAGATGGATTGTTTTGCTTGCTAGCAACCAATACATTTGATGGTTGCAGGGGTGACAGCTTCCTGCAGTCTGTGCTTGTTCTTCAACCGTGTGCCTTTCAGTTTGCACCAGTGCTCTTGTTCGTGAAGCTTCAGTGCTCCCTGATCTGATGGCACACTTGCAGCTGTAGCAGAGACCTGTTCATTGTGCAGTTATAAGGTACATCACCAAAAGCATGCACTCCAAACCAAAGCTTTCACAGCTCCTGTGCTGAGTGCTGGCTCAGAAGCACTCAGGGACCCTTCGAAGGGACAGTGTCTGTCTCCTGTGTCCCTGTTCCCATGCAGGTTTCACATTTCCCTGGCAGGCCCCTGCTTGCTCTGTCACTGCTTTCAGTGCAGCCAGCTCCAAGGGAGATGCAGGCAAGAAGGGAAGCTCCTACTGGTGTGGCAGCACAACCTGCATCTTCCCATGCATGTGCACAGTGAAGCCCATGCACAGCCTGGCTCTGATGGCCTTTGGGGATACAGCCGCATGCTACCAGGCTCGGTTTTATCTTCATGCTCATTTTTAAAATGATCTGTGGTGTCAAGGCTTGTGTTAAGTGCTGGATCAAGTAATAGCTAAGGGAGAGCCCTTGCAAAGAAAGTCCAGCTGCTAGCACACCCCATTAGAACTCCTCCATCCTGAACCCACAGTTCCCCATTGGCCTTAGAGGAAATGTGCTACAATCTCATACAGGTATAAATTACACAGACTTGTTAGAAAGCCATTACGATGGCTTTGGGTTCTGGTTCCCATTAATCTTACCTGGAACTGAGCACTGAATTTCCTTACTAAAGTTTGGAAGTTTTCATACTTGAGGAGTTTTTGCAAGGCCTTCTTTGGTGGCTTGGCCAAATCAGGATCTGTTCTAAAACCCAGACACACTCCAGTATGTACCCTGCTCTGCACATTCGGCTCCCAGCTGACTGGCATGCCCTAAGAGGGAGGCAGCTATTTGCTGTCCCAGGGCCATGTGCATTTTCAGTCTTCACTGAAGTATTTGCCCTGTCTTCTTTGCAGAGCACTTTGGGACAACTTGCTCTGCCCTGGATAGCTGTGAAAAGACAACCCCAGAGGCAATGGTTATTCAAGGCAAAGCATAGAAATAGCTCTGTTTGGTGCACAGCTCTGTCTCTGTTCAGACAGTGGAAGGCGTTGACTTCCCTGTGGGGACAGAAGACAATGGGGTTGGGCAATGCATTGGTTCAAGCAATATGAACAGTAAGCTTGGCTCTGTCTTGAGCTGTGTGCAGGTAGCAGCATGGGCTACCCCTGCTGTGCACAGCCTGGTGAGCAAACTCCTCATTCAGAGAGGAATGGGCCCCATGGAGTCTTACTAAAAGTAAAAGAGACAGAACACCCTTGTATGGTTGCTATGTGCCAAGCATCACCCAAATGTGAGAGGCTTCACAGGGTGCTGGGAGCCCTCTCTTACCGGTGAGTGCAGGTGCTGGGATGGAGCTTGAAGTGTGAGAACAGAGACCGTGGCCCTGGTGGTGTGAGCTCCAGCCTTCTTCCTGAGACAATGAGGTGTTCAGTCTGCAGTGACAGCCTCTCTGTGAGGTTTGTTCATACTTTGGAAAACAGGGTGCAGGAGGGTATCTCCTTAGAAACCTTGAGTAGCAGCATAAAGGGCATGGGAAAGTGGGTAGCAACCACATCGCTGGAGATGTGTGTTAGGATATAAGCAAGGTGGGTAGTCCAGGAAGAAGGACTATCTTTAATGAGGTTAAGTATTCAGCTGGAAAAAGCAGATGCTTTTGAATGCCCAGCCCTTCTTTCAGTTGTGTGAAGATGGTTCTGCATTCCCCAAAGCTGGTCTGCTTTTGTAGCCTTTATCAGTTGCTTTAACAAAAGGTTTTGCCTGTCTAGAAGCCTTTGTTTTCCCATGCAGACTCTGTGTTCTGGGCTGTAAATTTGTCTGAATCGTTCAGATAGGAATTGCAGTGAAATTCTGCAGAGTCCTGTCAGCTTTGTTTGTAGCTTACATGGCTGGAAAGCTTGTCTCCAGCAAGAAAGCTGGATTTGGAAAAGCCTCCCTATCCCCAGGAAACTTGCTGGCTGCCTCCCTCTTAGCACAGACTGGGGCTGACTGACTTCTACTGCTGAACTTCTGCTTGATCTGTTGAGGCAGCCCCACTGGGGCATAATAGAGAAATGCTCAGATGCGGGGGGGAGAGATGGGGCTGTTCTTGCTTGAGCTGGACCTGTTTTGGTGACAATGAAGACACTTGCTTCTGGCTCCGAAAACATCCTTCCTCCCAGAGATGTGGAGCAATGAAATATTCCCTGCTATATCTCTGGATCTTGGTCCGGTATCATGGCACAAATCAGGCTTCAGCAGCATGCCACTGTGATTCTGTGAGCCTGCAGCACATGTTCTTCCTTACCTGCTGCCTGCAGGTGCAGGGTTGCATGAATGGGTAAGGGGGGGGCAAGAAGAGATGGGAAAGGGAGCTTGTAACTACAGCTTGCCAAAAGGATGATCTTATCCTGCCATGCTGGCTGCTTAGAGGAAGGCATGTCCTCAATTCCTCACTCAGTTGGCCACTGCAGTGGGAAAAGAAAGGTCAAGTTGCAGCTGCAGGACTTGGGGAGGTGAAGTTTGGTCTAAAAGCATAGGCTAAGGTTTGTATCTCTGGGGTTTTCATTTTGGCAAATGAACTAATTGAACATTGTCTAAGAAAACAGCATTGCCCAACAAAGGAAATAACAATATATCCTTTTTTGTGTGTTTATTTTTGTCCCTGCAGTAACCACAACTCTCTCCTCCTGGTCCGGGCATGCTAGAAAATGCAACGAAACAGCCAAGTCCTATTGTGTCAATGGCGGGGTATGCTACTACATCGAGGGGATTAACCAGCTGTCTTGCAAGTAAGTGAGTGTAGTTCTTGTGTCAATATGGGAATTACTTCACTGGGGGAGAGGAGACTGCAACTGCTTGGGAATTCCTCTGGCAGTGGCAGTTTGAGCTGTACAGGTTCAGAAAGGGAGACCAGAAGTGGGGAGGAGGGGTCATAGCTCCTTTTTGTGTGTGTGCTACTGTTCACTTTCCCTGACTTTTTCTCCAAGAATGTGTTTGTCCCAGCTGTTTCCTTTCCTATCTTCCCTTTCTCCTCTGCAGCTTCAGGGAAGGTCAGGTCCCTTTTGCTTTCCCTGAGCTAGGTTAAGCTGACACATCCTCCCATCCAAGCAGGGGGGCTTTTCCCAGGGCATAGCCACCTCCATCCTCCATGGCTGGAGGGTTTCCTTGCTGAGACCTGCCTCTGACTCCTGCTGTCTGTGCTTCGTGGGCCCAGAAGTGGGTTTAGTGCATAGCTGTTCACCACACTGTGCCACTGTGGGTTATTTCTCCCTTTCAAATGTTAAAACCTGAAAAACAAACATAAAAACCCAAAACCCAAGCAGGGAGACATACCAAGTTATCCTTAAAATGGAATTTCTGGGGAGTTTGAAGTGGGGCTGCATAGTCTGAGAGATGTGGAATGGGATGTGAGACATTTTCACCTCTGGTTCAAACCTATCACAGCCAGCAAGCTTAAAAGCATCTCACAGCTCACCCTGTAAGCCTAGTGGGGACTGTGAATGACAAATGCAGTCTGATTGTCCATGCTGGAGATGTAGGTACCTAAAGCCTATCTGTACCTGCTGCTGGGCTCCTGTGGAGTGAGCATGAGGTGGTGCCCTGTGTGTGCTGAGCAGATGCAGTCAGCTCCTGAGCTCACCTGGGGATCCAGGATCACTGTGCCAGCTTGGAGAAGCCCAGAGCTGACTATTTTCTCCCTGCATGGCTCAAAGACCTCTCCATGGAGATGCACAGCCAAAGGTATTTTAATCTGTGTATGTATGTCAAACTAGTACCACTGGTGCTGTGTGGTGTGGTGCTCACCAGACACCTCAGCTCCTCAGGCCTTGAAGGACACATCTGAAGAGAACCATCACCCCTTTTGGAAGGGTTGTGAGCTGGGTTATGCTTAGCACAACTCCTCCCTTCTCCCAACTCTTGTTTTGGCAGGGAGCAGTAGGAAAGGCCATGTGGAAATGCGTTCTGAGATCCTGTGCTCTTACTTTCCAATGCAGGATCAGCTGTGGTGGGAAGGACATAGGATGAGCAGCATCTTCCAGTTCTGCCAGGCTTGCCCCTTCACACATGAAAAGAGCCAGGTAGGACAGAAATCACATGCTGTGGTCCTCCATGTTTCCCATGTGTGTGAAGAGCTGCAAGAGCAGCCTTTGCACACCACAGACTTGTGTTTCAGGGTAGCTGTCTCTGCCATTGGCTTCTTGATGGCACTGTAAGTTCATCTTGCCAGGGTTCCCAATAGGAAATATGGGGAAGCTCCGTATGGTGAATCAGTCGCTTCCATTATTCTGGTGTAGCTGTAGCCTCGGGAATTCCCAGCAGTTCCAGTCCTTCCATGCTGGGGAGGGCCAACCCTTGAAGACCAGAGGAATGAATGAATCAGTATCTCTACCTCTTACGCAGTGCAGTGATGCCAAAAGCATATATCTCAAGACTATTTCTTTTGAGAAGAACTTGAATCCAAACCAAGACTTTTCAAATTGAACCAATTTCTAATTACAGCAAAAGTTACCTGAACTCCTCAGCTATGATGGTAAAGCTCCATTTTTCTTAACAAAGAATACATATGGTAATTATCAAGTGTCTCCAGCAGACAGGCTGTTTTAGCCAGTGTAATTCCAGCCTTGCAACGAAACAGTCTACCTTCAACCCAGGCTGCTACAATAGCTGATGAACAGAGGGGAAGATCAGTGATGGATTCCATTAAGATTTTATGTGCCCTACAATCCAGACCTAATCATGTCATATAATTTGAAAGCCTTAATTCCTTCCTTGCAGATGATGAAATTATTTCCTTTCTGATAAGTCCTAAGGTACCAATTGCTAAAATTCGATGATAATTGAATGGGTGTGTGTGGAAGGGCAGCAAAGTGTTAACCAAAACGAGGTGCTTTGAAGGTCTGCACTGTCATTACTCATCTGCCAGAAAAGACAGCTCTGTCTTAACAGGAACTCAGGGGACCCAAATGCCTTCCACTCAGTACAGTGACTTCTGATCTTACTGCTTGAGGAGATATCTGGATGCTCAGTCTCCTTGAGTGTTTTTATCATCAAATCATAGGCTGAAGATAAGAAATCCTGGCTTTTGAAGTGGTGATTTTTAGAGTTTCTGGACTCTAGAAGATAATAGTTATTAAGGAATGCAGAAACATTTGAACTGGACATAGTATTTCTCATAAATTGGCTTTTCCAGTAACAGAGATGATTCTTGGAGAAGGCTGACAATGAATAAACAGACTTTGCATTTGTCTGCCTGAAAACTAACAGAATGCTGGAATGTTTCACAGCCGCTTTGTTGCAGCAAGACAGGAGATCTGGCGTTGTGGTTCGTGAAAGCTACAATGGTACAGATTCGGAGGAGAAACCAGAGGAGGCAAGAGGCAGGCTTTGACCTGCATTTTTGACCTCAGTAACGTGGGAGCTAGCCTTGGTGCTCCAGCCACACCATGTCTCTGAGACATGCGCATGGAGATCAACAGGTTCTTCTGCACACAACATCTTTAAATATCTCAGAGGTCAAACAAGAGCTGCATGAGCATCTACAACGAGGAACAACACATATGTCCATGCAGTGTTCCCACTTTGCTGTTCTGATTAAAGACAGTAGGGCCTGGGGGAGGGTGTCTTCTGGCACCAAGTGCCAGCTTGTAGTCCTCCTTCACTGGGTGCTTAGTTTATTCCAGCACCTGGGCACCCATTCTTGTTACCAGCCTTTCCAATAGTGGCTATCAGAAACTTTTACCGTGTTCTTTCCTACCTGCCACCATCCTGTATCACTTTCCTGGGCTGGATTTCATGGTTTGATGCTGCCCACAAACATAGAAGATCCTTCCTGTAGATTTTAACCTGGCACTCCAGAGCAAAATGGGCAGCTAGGTTCTCCAACGATTTATTCTCCTGAAGTGGCTCATGCTTGATTTGTTACAGATATCCCCTGAATTGGCATGTGGCCTCCTTTTTTTTTTAACAGGCTTCCCAGAAACATGTTCTTCCTGGTCTTTTAATTCTGGGGAACAAACTGTTTGCCTGTAAAGCCACTTTTTTCATCCTCTTTCAATACTCTTCAGCTGGACCTTGAACGCTTTCTTCACAGGGGAAAGCCCAAACAGACTTGCAGCTCTTCCAGAAATTGTCTTTTTTGGATTGTGTGCTTCCATAATTTTGTCCTTAATTAGAATTAAATTCTACACATGCTAGTGTCAAAGGAAACCTGAACATGATACAATCTGTGCTGTTATCCCGACTCTGCAAACAGACCAGCTGGAAGTTAGATGGGAGAAGTGTGATTTGCCTCAGATGTCCTGCAAATTGTCAGTATAAACCCAGGAAACGACTGAGCTACACACATACAGAATTGACTCAACAGTAAATTAAAAAGCCCTAGGCTCTTGTTGACAGGAAGAATTTCTCGATCCTTCTCCACACCTTACAAGCTGACTTGGTTTCTCACCATGACTGTGGGGAAGTGGTGAGTTTGAGTAGAAGTTCCAGTGTCTGCAGAAGGGATGCTCACAAGCATGTCTCGAGGTCTTCAGCTGGTCTGGGGCAAAGGAGAACAGTGTTTGTTGTGTCTACCTTAATGTACTGCTTGGGATGGCGAGCAGCCTCTGATCTTGGGTCTGCCTTGGTCTTGCAGCCCATTGGCTTTTTGGCACAACCTAGAGCAGTTTGAGGCCTCGCTAATCTTTTATTCCTGGGTGCCATGCATAAGTACTCCTTTTTCCAGTTAGGTCTTGGCACATGTTATCTACAGTTGGGTCTTCTCAACCAAACAAAGAAGCAAAGCCAAGTCTCATCACTGCACAGTCCTTTCTGCCCACTTAAATGTGCTTCATGACTCATTTGTGTGGTGAATGTAATCAAAGTGGATGGTACCATGGGCCAGGATCTTCCTAAATTGCATGGAATCAGAAGACTTAGAGCTTTATAGAGCAGCATCCCCCCTTTATGTTGGACTACTTGTGCTTGCAAGAGCCAGGTTGAAGGATTTACAAATGCTGACAGATAAACACTGTCTGGGTTTGAGCTGACAGCATTGCATTACATCAGAGAGTGAGGGCAGGGGCCTGGAGGACCTCAGACAAAAAGTGAAAGTCAGGGAGAGAATAAAAAGCAAAACAAAGTGAAGGAGAAAAGATCAAATAATTTTTAAACCAGTGGATGTATGCAAATCACCAGTTTACAGAACTACACGTTCACCTCCTAGGGGCCTCCTCCACGTATGTTGTTTCCTGCAGGTTTTCCCAGGAGATAGGAAAGATTATTCAGAAGGGTTAGCCACATTGCCAGGCTGCCTGTGCTGTCCAGAGCACCATTCAAAGGGGTAAACAGGCTGATCCTGTCCTCCCTGCAGCACAGCTTGCTCAGCTCCCCTGTAATGCCAGGAGCTACACCACCCCTCTTGATGACTCTACTGATAGGTCAGCACAAGCTGCACGTTGCACAGACACAAGGATACCTCTTTGTCATGGATATATAAGCAGTTCTGTGGGGAGGTGTTGCAATGTCCTTGGAAATGAAGAGCCCACGGTGTTGAGCTAGGGGTGAAAATCTCCACATCCTGTTCCAAACCTTCTGAGCCAGCCAGGACTCATTCAATGAGTCCTGCGTGCTGTTTATCATGGGTGATGAGATTAGCTACCTTTTCAGGTTCAAGTAGCCCACCTATGAATCCCATCCAATGTGTCTTTTTCAGTGCACATGTAACTATAGCAGACCCTTGAGCACCATCAGTGTGAAAACTGATCCTGCAACAGTGAGGCTCAGAAAAGACAACAGCACAGATCCTGCTGAGTTCCCACAGCTCGGTTGGAGCTGCACTGTTGTCTTCACTGAGCTCATAGGTGGGTGTCCCTGCAGTTCGGACTCTACTGTACAGCAAACATGCCTTGATTAGCTGCTCTGGATAAGGCCTCTGAATTTATTCTGGTTGTCTTCTTTTCTTCCCATCAGTGATTTTGTGGAGTTCAGCCTTTTGTGGCTCTCCAGAACCTGATCATCTGGGACTGGTCAGGGGACAATGACAGAACTGTCTTCTTTTTCAGCCCTTCACACAACTAAGCAACATGCATGAAACATTTCTCCGCTTGCTATATCAGTGCATTGTGTCTTTTTTGCTGCAGCTTCTCCTTAGCCTGTTATTATGAAGCACCTGCTCCTTCACATTGTTCTATAACATGGATTGCACTGAGAGCTACCAAATTTGGCACACTTTAATTAAGATCTTGGGGAGCAAAGGAAATGTGCCAACCCTTGAAAGATTCAGATCAACTGCTGGGCAGAAAGAGTGTTGCTTCCAGCAGGAAACATTATGATAATGGTGTTATTAATTAATAGTAGCAAATAATAATTAACAATGATTCTTGCTCTGCCCAGATACAGGACAAAAGGTCAAAGCTTCTCAATTTTCATAAAAAGTGCTCTGCAAACAGCACAGGAATGGGTCTTTCAAACCATTTTGGTTTGTACTTTTCAAGGTGCTTTATTTGGCTGATCATCTTACGGCAGTTTTCTTTACCATGTAAATAAATTCATCCTGAAAGCAAGAACAGAACTTTGTGGATGTTTTTGATATGGAGTTTTAAAAAAAAAAAAGAAGTCTGAAGCAATTGATGAAAACTGAAAGATTTGGACATTTTCCATTAACAACAGAATCTGGCCATAAGAATTTTGGCAGTCTTGAGGTTGTCCACACAGACTAGAGAGGGGACAAGGTGCTGTCTGCAAGAGGTTGGTGCAGCCTTGTACTTCCCCAAGATGGGTCTTACAGGTCCAGCTTTGTCCTCTTCCCTTGGCCTTTGAGGAAAGACGTGTTTGGCCTCCAACACACCACTGAGCTGATGAGGAAAAGGTCTTCCTTTGGAATAGTCCACCATCTGTGTAGTCTCTGCAAGAGTTTTCAAAAGTAGGAGGGATTCTGTTTTGCTGGGATAGCCATCCAAAACGTCTTGGCTAGAGTCAAATGTGCAGGAAGAAGGATGCCATGATCAAAGACCATCTCATGCCTCTTGAACTTGGTGAGCCTTACCTTTCAGATATATCCCTCAGGGCATGTGCTTGGCCACTGAAGAAAAGCTGCCCAGAAGCCCTTACCACAGGTCGCAGATCCTGCATGCAGAAGGGGTCCTTTCCATCGTTCTTCCTGTCCTGACAGGGAGACTCATGTGCCATGTACACTAGAAATTTCAAGTCTAGGGCCATAGTAATGAGTAACAAAGCGTCTTCACCAGCTTACAACTATGAGACAGCTAAAAAAAGGAATCATGATCACTGCAGTCTTTCAAAGGTCTGCTGGTCACTGTTGATGCCAGCACCCTTTTTTATGAGGAATCAGGACCCAGGGATGCCAGAGCATTTTGACAGCTTGTATACTAGCTTGGGAGGTGACAGAAGGTGCTCGTGTTCATGAGAGTTTATTTTCTGTCACTTTTCCCACTGCTGATTCACTGGTAGCTAAAGATGAAAAGCCTGAGTTGTCCTAGACACAGACAAGACTGTTGTCTACTGCCTTCTGTCTAGCAAGATCTTCTCCCCACCCACATTAGGCTGACTGCAGTGATATGATAAAGGGCTATATGGTAGCTGTCACAGCATCAAAGCTTCTTTGACACTCTTCTGTTTTGCTTTTACACTTCTCACCAGTTTCTTCCTCTGGGTTTTTATTTCCTTCCACCATTTTGCACATAATTTTTAGTCTTTCCTTAATGGCATGCAGCTTCAGTCACAGTGAAGTTCCAGCCTTGGCTGACCTCTTGCAGATTTGCACCTGAGATAGTTTAAACTCTTTAGACAAAAGTGCCCTTTTTGAGGTGGGTAGGACATCTGCTTCATTCAGCAGCACCAGAAACCCTTCAGAGCTCTCACAACATATGTGAAATCTCAGATCCCAGACAAATGGACAGCACATTGCAAGCTAAACTGCATACCTTTGAAGATCCTGTGGACAAATTCATGACTCTCCCAGTTGTGATGAATAAACTTCAAAAACGATTGGGAAGATGCCTTCTATTTTGGATGCCTCATTCAAACCCCAATGGAATCACTTAAAGGTTGCTCCAAAGTTGTGCTTCCATAGGGTTGTCCTTGTGAGTCTGCATCACCCAACTGACTCAGGTTTGTGCTCTTTGATTGCCAACAAGGCATCCTCTTCAATCCACTCCCAGCACCAGTGTCCTCTGTTTCATCATGGGGAGGTCAACAGGTCTCATTGATGCCTGATGGTAACCCCTTGGGCTGGGCTTTACCTGGGAGCTGTCTGGGCTCCCTGGTACTGAAACAACGTTGCTGGCATGTCTCCCTTCCCTGTGCTCCAAGATGAATGTCCAGGAATGGGAAAAGAGGGTGAATTTTCCAAGGATATCTGCCTGACCAGGGAGTGACATTTCCAGTTTCAAAAGTTACTTGGATACCAAAAAAATGAAGTGGATGACGGGGGAGTTTAGTGAAGCCTCGTGCAGAGCCATTCCTTTGAGTTGTCCCCAATCAGTTCAGGGTGCACAAATAGTCCAGCACACTCCCATATGGAAGTGTTAGCACAGGTCCCGGAAACCAAATGCTATGTAGCATAGAAAACAGGTTTAGTCATGGGCATTGAGGGTGCACCAGCTTTTGTGCTCAGTGCAGATCTATCAAAACTGCAGTGAAAACCAGCAAGAAACCAAATTCCAAAGTAATGTCAGTCATGGAGCGTCTAGCAAAGCTTTCTTCTGTGAGAGCGACGGCACGTGATATGTCTCCCTGGACCCTGCCTTGAAGAACTGGAAAATGCATTCTTTAGGGGAAAGATGGACATGTTTGGAGCTGTGGAGGTGATGAAGTGGAGAAAGACAGTAGATGGGATGAAGAGATTATGCAGCTTTTTATTGGCTGTATCTTTTCCTTGGATCATGCTGGATTCAGAGCTGTGTCTTAAGTTCAGAAGAGGGAGAATTCAGCTGGGCAGGGAGGCAGTTACATGTAAGAGCTACGACTTCAAGAAACCTAGGGATAGCTTTGAGTGACTATCCAAGGAGGCCAGAAGATGTGAAGGGAGAAAGAGAGAAGTTCCTGATGGAGAAGTGTTTGACCACCCCTGGCTGAGCTCCCATTTCCTCCCAGGTTCACCCTTGGTTGATGGTGTGTCACAGCGCAGAGGGTGCAAGTGCTGCTGCACTGAGTGTGGTCCAGCAGCTCCTGCTGCACCCCTGCCTTGTTCCCCTGCTCCCCAGACCTAGCTCAGCCTGCAGGCTGCTCTGAATAGCACATGCCTGGCAGCCCTCATCAACAGGGCACTGTCTCCACCACTACAGCATCATGGTGAGGTACAGCTGGTGCCCCATGAGCTGTCGCATCTCCATCCATCACATAACTTCAGGAATACCCTGAGACAGCCTTGCAACTGGGCAGCAAATGAGACCTGTTGGGTTCAGCTTTCTTCTCTGTCCCTTTCTCTCTGTTAAGACAGAGACTTTGCACATGCTTCCTCTCTAATGGCAACCTTTTTCCCTGGAGCATCCTGTGGGTACTTCTGGGGTAATGATGGGAAGATGCTTGCCACATACAATGCTCGCTGTTGCCTGAGCAGCTACTCACCGCACTGTGGTGCCTCTTGCCAGTCTTGTCTAGGTAGCAGCTCCAAGGAGAGCTTCTGAAAGTAGCATCCAGCCCATCTCAATCTTCCTGCCAGCAGGTGCTTCTAGCAGGTGAGAAGGAAGGAAAGAAGGGGTTTGGCTGGCTGCTTAAAGACCCAGGACAAAGAATAGAGCTGGAATGCTGATGTAGCAGGTGCCTGGTTAAAGCAAAGCGAAGAAGAAATGTGCTCATAAAGCCTTTATTTTTTCCGTTCATCACAATGCACTTTTTATTTCTGACCTTAGCCTCGAGAATGGTGCCAGACATGTTCTGTGATTTCTCCCCTTTTCCCCTCCAGATGTCCAAATGGATTCTTCGGACAGAGATGTTTGGAGAAACTGCCTTTGCGATTGTACATGCCAGATCCTAAGCAAAGTATGTTTGAAGATAAAAAATGCACCACACTACTTAAAACCTCCCGGGCACAGCGGTGGATGTAGAGTGGTCTAGTCAGGGATGGCTCTTGGTGTCAGCTTTGGGTTAGGGCTTAGGGATGCAGGTAAGGGTGAAGGCTGAGAGTAGATGGATAGGAGTCATGGCAAGGATCAGAAGGGGCCTCAGTACAGTCTGTTTGGGTGTCATTTTGCTATCTTGTTTCTCTCTTTCTGGTTTTCTTTCTTTCGGTAGGTGTCCGATCGAATTCACAGGAGACCGGTGTCAGCATTTCGCAATGGTCAGCTTCTCCAGTATGTCTCTTTCTACTTCTCTCTCTGCCTGGTTGTTGTAGCTCTGTGTCGTGTCCTTAAAGCAGGTTCTTCTGTTCTCCCAGAGCCCTTTTCCTGTCTTGTGCACTCCCAGCTCTGCTTGGCCGTAAGAGGAGCTGCGATCATGTCCAAGAGGAGAATCAGGGCTCGTTGTTACCTTCTATTTGTTAGAATGGGTTCAGCTTTCATTTCTGATTGAACTGAATGTTGCTTGCTCTTTTCACGCAAAATGTAAATAAGGCACAAGTTCATGTGGTGTGCTGTGTGAGAACAGTCTGTGTGGTAAGCTGTATCTGGTAGCATTACTGCCTCAAGATGGACTGTGTTGTGCAGTGGAAGAGAAAATAACATTTTCCCATAACTTGAGAGTGGTTGTGTGAGTTGTACCAACTGTGGAAATCACAGTGAGGGCTGTAATGAAATTTCCCCTGAGGTGAGGTTGCGTTTCTGTCTCCAGAAGCTAAACCAAGCATCAGTTGCTGTTCAGATGAGATGGTTGGAGACTGGATCCTGGAGCACACCCAAAGATCTGGACAGGGCACATATGCAGGCCTGGAACCCCAGAGGTCATGTTGGTAGCTGCCACTGTCAGGGCTTCCCACACCTCATTGCCACACAGGGTATGGGCTTAATCTGCTGACTGGGCATCTCAGATTATATCCCTCCCAGACACAGAGATGTTCCTTTCTCTCCTAGGGGCCTCAACATCCTTGCATATGGGTTATGTCTATCTACAGTGATTGATCCTTTAACCCTGTATTCAGTGGATGTAAATACTCTAAAGCCCTTGCACCTAGTCTTTCCAAGTTTCTAGTTTTCAGTTCCTATGGGGTCTAGGTGTCCGCAAATGCCTCACCTATAGACATCATTTCGTTCAAGACAGGTAATTTTCCTGAGTCCATATTCATACAGTGTCCCAGCATCCGGGGGACCCTGTTCTGGATAAGGACTGACCTGAAAGGAGGTGCAGCTAAAGGGCAGGAAATCAGACTCAGTGACTCTTTGTGTGCCCTATCCTGATTCCATGCTGGCTGTTTGGGCCACCACAGATGGTGGTTTTGAAGGGGCTTTTTTAAAAGAGCCACAAATGAGGCTTTAATTAATGAGAACCAGACAAAAAACGCCTTTCCATGGTGACTCCTTCATTGCCAGTACCCCCTCTCTCATGCTATGTAAGAAAACCTGTGGTCCTCATCTTGAACTGGCAATAGCAGGCGTCCCAGTAGCATGTGCTAATAGCTGGTACATGCTGGCATTAGTCTTCTTCTACTAGAGAGCATACAGACAAGATGCAAATGGCCTTTGCGAGGCCCCTGGGACAGCTTGATGTTTTTGCATTGCCTTTTGTTCCAAACTGGCTTCCAAAGTTGAAACCTCCATTGATGTATTCTTTCAGACTGAAACATCCAAGTAAGCTCTTTTTAAAATGACAAAACAAGATGCTCTCTTTTGACCTTTAACCTAGTGCAAAAAGGTTTCCTTCCAGACAGCAATGAGATGCTTGCCCAATGAAGCTGATGGGTTTCAGGAGATGGTGTCCAACAAGCTTAAACATTATTGCTACCATGCTGCAAAACCAAAATGGGTGAAAATGACTTTTATGTCAGGAAAATTGCTTTTCAGAACATTAATGGCAAGAGTAATCAGCTTGTGTTTCTTCCCCAGCCTTCAGAATCCAGCTTTTTATGGGAATGAGATTTGTTTAAATGTTATTTGTGTGTTAGAGGAACCATGCCAGCTTTGAAACAGACACATGTACTTTTCCTTGCCTAAATTCTGCTTTAACCACAGGATAGTAAGGTAAAAACAGCTTAACAATCCAGGGTACCTGTCTGAACTTGGATAAAAATCATCTAAGAAGATGATTCATATGTTTTTATAGCTGTTTTCACTTTCAGGTCACAGTTGGGTAACATACATAGCAGCAGCACCACAGAAAAGCATGCACTGAACTTGCTGTTCTTCTGAATAGGGGAGGCATTTCACTTGAGTCTGGACTGTGCAAATGCTTACTTTCTACTTTAATCAATAATTAGGGCACAGTAGAAGTTGCTGTTGCTCTATAATTCACTCAGTGCTTCATTCTAAATGGGTTCTGACAGGTCAAAAGCTGAAATAGATTAAATGAGGTTCAGGCATTTCCACTGAAAATAAAATAGCTCTGTCCTGATTCATGTTTTGAGATCATTGCCAGCACTTGGCAGATACTTAAATAGTAAATAATGACACCTTGTTTTAAATGCATTTTGGGTATTTTAGGTTTTAAAGCCTAGATTTGAGCCTTCTGATTCTTTAACATAAATATTAAATATTGCAATATGACTTTCAGTAGGCACATCCCACGGCTGAGCGAGAGTCTCTGCAGAGTGAACTAAATTTAAGATGTTGTTCTGAAAAGATATGGCAGATGATTTGCTGAATTTGGGCCACAGATGGGGATGGTGCAGCATCCCAGCATCATGCCAGATGTTGTGCATCTTCCTTCTGGGAGCAGCTTCCTATCTCACTGATTTAAACCCTTATTCAGGTTTTGCTGAGGTAAAGCTCCCCATGTTCCCTAGGAGTTCAGGCTGTCTTTGTCTGGTTGACAGGTAGATCTGTTTCTAATCCGATTTTCTGAAATACCTGCTACACCACTGCAATTATGAATATGAAAATCAGATGTATTTAAATAGGTTTTCTTGCATGTGATGTTTCTCTATGTTGTTGTTACAACCATATGACCAGCCAACAACCAGTTACTGGTTGTACCTGCCAGACGTTATGGATATATAGAGAGAAACTCACTAGGAATTGTATCATTGGGCTTATTGATGATGGCTTCGCGAGTGAAGATCTGGGAAGGGCTTTAACCACGTTTATTACAAGCACGATGACCAAGGGCATGTGGGATATGCAAATCTGGGAAAAAGGGTGCTGAGGCAACCAGGAAGTGTCCGACCACGACTGTTAACTCCTGAGCTAACTCGAGCTACCCATGCACTGGTCTGCCCACATGCAACATTGGATCTTGCAGCTTACCAAAGACCTCCCAGCCTGTCCCAGCTCAGCCCTTATTAGGTGAACAGTGCCTATCTGCTTATAAAGAGTTTACATTTATTTTGCTCACACTGTAAAACAAATGTGATGGGGAATGTGCTGAGATACTGCAGAAAACAAAACCAAACCATGATAAAACTAACGTAAGAAAATACATGCAAACAACATTGCTCTGGCCTAGCAAGGTGCCACTTCCGAGCAGAGCTCCAGTATCTGTGTCAGTTCTCTAAGCCTGTCTTTACACTAAGCTTGCATTAGTCTAAGCCACCCTGATAGTCAGTTTTCTAGCAAGACTCATACCATAATGAGATCTAAGGCAGCACATTTCTTCTGCTCAGCAGTGACTAGGTATGTGTAGACAGTTGGCTACTATCAGTCAGCAGATGGACAATAACCTGGTAAGTAGCAGCAGCACAGATGAGGGGGTTGTCAACACTGGTGCACAGTAATCCCCATCCCAAAAGTATGGACAAAGTCTCAGGAAAACTTAAAAGCTCTGTCGTGTTTGACATAGGTCAGTTTTAGGACACAGTATGACAAATTGTTTTCCCACATTCATGAAGCCTTAAAACTACTACTCCAGAGGTACTGAAGGTGATGAGTACAAACTTGTAAGTTTAGCTGTCAGATGTCACTCCCAGAGCCCTGGTACAGGTACCTGCAGTCACAGATTACCTGTGCCTGGCTGTTCATGCACTAGGGAGAACAGAAGTTGAAAGCATCAAACTGTTGATCCACAGCCTGATTAATCCATAGCATTAACACCTTGAGACCATTTTGCCTTTGCAGTCAGATCTTCATGTCTGCTGGCACACGTGGATGAAAAGTTCAGCAATATCAGAAGAGCCAGGAACTCTAATATGAGACCCTCTAGTGGGCACTGCAGACTCAGTTGACAGTTGTCTCCCGAGTTCAGCTTCAGAGGCACATCTATGTCTTGCAGTGCTTTCCAGAAGGTAGAAGCATGTCCAAAATCATCCTTCCTTATCAGAAATGTTATTTTTAAACTGTGCTGGCACCTGTATTTCATAGCTGCCTGTTCTGCCATTAGCTCTATCTTCTCTCTTCTACAAGAACGTTTTCAGGTCTTTGTAAAACCCTGCTGGAAGTTTACCAATAAGCCACCCAGTTTTGGGCTGGTTGTAAAGGTTTTGTAAACCACGTTAGCAGCTATTTCACTCTTGGTGGTGCTGAAATACTGCAAGTTAAACATTGTGAGTGAGAACATTTATTCCTTGCCTAAGTCTGCACATTTGGAGTCTTTCCACTTGCAGTTTATGGAACAATTTAGAAATTTGGGATGAATTTTTATGTTCATGCTTGCCTCCTGTCTGTGGAATCTGAAATTTCATCTTAACTTTGCTATTTATTCATCTCCCAGAATAATTGTCACTGATCTGGAGGACAAATGTCATAACCATTTATCTTCTTGTTTAGTGAAACATTTTAATTTTCTACTGTGTGACCTCATTACAGTTGAAGTCTGCAGCCCGCGTGTAGACGTCTTGGAATAGAGCTGGCATTCTTATACAATGATTTCTAGCATATTCTGCTTTTTTACCCTATATTTAATTCTTGCTTTCTTTACAAATAGAATTTTAATTTGGAGTTGGAGTCTTTTTACTGGCCTGTTTTGGAAGCACAGAGCAGCATTTTCTGCTATGCACTGGGAGAGCAGCCTTTGTCTTCAACTTTGGGATCTCCTAAGAGTCTGCTATTAAGGCATCAAATCCCTTTCTCAAAGGGGACATAAAAAGCCCATTTTGTTGCAAGGTACTCAGTGTAGTCATCTGGAAACATGGAAGAGAAGACCTTGAGCTGAAAAATCAGTCTTGTAGTTGCAGACTATCTGGTCAGTTCTGCTTGCAGCCGACACTGATACGAAAGCAGATCCCAAATTCCCAGCTCGATATGCCTCCCAGGACTCTCTAACTGAAGTCATC